TATACCTGTATTTTAAAATAAAATTTAATAAATAACTCATTTTTCATCTTCTACAATCTTTTATCCTTAAAAAATAAATTCACAGAAATTTTCTATATTAAAAAGTTTTTCCGTTTATTTTCTTAATCAAAGAGTTAATTAATTATCAAGTTCAGACGATTAAAAAAACATAATTAATAAATGACATCAATAAAAATTTATAGGTATTTAGAACTAAGAGCGTAAATTTTCTTAAACTTTCTTAACAAATTGATAATTAAATTTAACTTAAAACTTCATAAAATGGTTATTAATTAAAAAAAAAGCATTTTTTTAAATATAAAACCAATCAAAGATTTAATTAGGTACAATATAAAGAGTGTTGTTTATAATATTCTCTACCTCATAATTAATTAATTATAACAAATGTTTTTATTATATTGTTTTAACACTAATTGGCTGTTATTGTTTTACAAATGTAAATTATAATTTTAGAAAAAAATCAAACGAATTTTTATTAGGAAATTGTAGAATATTTTTATTTCGAACGTGAATAGAATTGAAGCCTTTTTTTCTCCTTTCTTTCCTCGGTTTAATTCTTATTTTAATTATTGATAAGAATTTAACTGACAAAAAAAAAGGAGAAAAGAGTGGCTTCATTTGTCTTCATCCAAGTAATTGAAATGTTCTAGAATTTCTTAATAAGAGTTTTTCTATAATTGTAATATACATCTGTAAATAGTAATGGAGAATTAACATTAAAGTATAATATAAAACAGATTTTAATTATTGATGAGAATTTGACTGATAGCTTCAATTCTATTCGTGTTATAAGAAAAAATGTTCTAGAATTTTATAGCAAAAATGTTTTTCCATAATTGTAATTTAAACCTTTAAACAATTAACATTAAAATTCTGCATAAGATAAACTTTTCATTGTGCTGTAAACATTAACTCTCATTTATTAAATTAAGTTGTAGAGAAAAACTCTTATTAAGAAATTCTAGAACATTTCAGTTACTTGTATTCTAGAATTGAAGCCATCAGTTAAATATAATTAAAATCTGTTTTATTANTCATTAATTTAAAGGGCCTTACGAGGCTTTAATTAAAGCTGTTAACGTGGAGGGCCGAAGAACAATTAGATAGCAACCAACTGCTATAAGGGAATCCAAATCCACACGGAGGAACGAGGATCCTCGTTCCTTGTTGAATCTTACCAAATCTTGAGCGTTTTTATCTATTAAAAAATCTGTAAATCTTTAATTTGTCTTATAATATATTTTTCTATCTAAATTTGGCAGCCACCTTTCGTATAATAGAAGAATTAGTATCCCTTTTTAAGGATCACGGAATGATTCAATACAGATTTGGAAAATTGGCCAGTTACGTTATGCTCTTTCATCACAAAACCGTACAAGTGAGTAAATTTTGTACAGGAAAACCCTTCCCTTTAATGTATTTCTCGGTTATTAATTTAATTTATGGACTTATTTTTCCACACAGCCAATTCTAGAAAATGGCAACAACATCAATAAAGCCGGTTTCTACAATTTCTTCAAGCCGTGGTTAGGAAGTGGACTTTTACTCAATTCGGGAGAAAAATGGAGAAAGAGAAGAAAACTATTGACACCAGCTTTTCATTTTTGCATCTTGGAGAACTTTCTACCCATTATGGACGAGCAATCACGTCTTCTAGTCGAACGCCTCGAGCAATGTCGAGAAGAAGAATGGATCGATATCGTTCCATACATTGCTCAATGTGCCCTGAATACCATTTGCGGTACGTTTAGTTGTTTTCACTCACGTTTTTACTTTAAATATTCCACTCAATAGATGGAATCTTTCAGAAACCGCAATGGGAATTCCAGCCAAAACTCATATTTCAAGAGGTTCCCATTATTTCGAATCGATGAAGATGTAAGTTATTGTATTTCAAGCATTACAAAGAAATATAATAGAGAGGTTGCGGCCGAAGTTTTCGTCTGTAAAACGTGAACGTCGAACGTCGAGCGCCTCGTACGAGATAACGGCGCTCCACGTTCGACGTTCACGTTTTAAAGATGAAAACTTCGGCTGCAACCTCGCTAATAACAAAGAGTTTTACATTTTTAGACTCGGGGCCCATGAAATACCGAGAAATGCAAAGAAATTTCTGGTTTGTTCAGTATTTTAGCGTATGTGTGTGTGGGGAGGGCGATTATGTTCAGCCATTTTGAAGCCTTATAACTCCTGTGTTTTTTATCGAAATTTTCTGAAATTTTGTAGGGTGGTACGTGTATTAGTGGCATTGATGCTGTTAAATTTTGGTAGTTAAAGGTGAACGTGGTGAAGAAATAGAGTGGGACCATCTAATAATGCATCCTGTATATTTAAAGAAAACAAATATATTCATCCTATTTCTTCAAATCTAATCGATCTATACTATGTGTGTCACTCTTGTATACTTTTAAAAATTACTAAATGTAATTTTAATCCGACAAAACAATTTGAAAATGTCATTAAACAGGCAGCTTCTTGTATTAGCAATTGATGTCGGGTGTTATTCCCGACACGTTTGTTCGAGTAAACATTGTCTACGTTGTATTTTCTAGGTAACTCGGTATACATTGCTGTTACGTTGCAAAGGGAGACATTTCTCACTATTTTTCTTTCACTGGACGGATTACTTTTCCAATTCGCTCTTTCCACTGATCTAATTTACAACTTTTATTGTTTCTAAACTTCGTTTAAACTTCGTTTAAACTTCGTTCCTAAACTTTGTTTGCGATATCCTATTAAAATAATACTAACATCGTTACATTAACTTAATTTATGCCTTTTATGTGTAACTGGCCCTTATTTAGGTGTTACAAACGTGAAGATGGTGGTGAGGTTGGAATCCACGATCTCCCCTACGCTGGTGTTATACTGGTGGGCATGGAATATCTTGAAGTACAAGTCGACACCCCCTATAACACTGTTGATAATTCCGGTTTATATGAATTCCATGTTGTACGAGTCACTTAGATTTTACGAATACGTGTGCCGGGCTGTGAACGGCTCACGTATTTGTAAAATCTAAGTGACTCGTACAACACGGAATTCATATAACACGGAATTATCAACAGTGTTATAGGGGGGTCTACTAACGTTTCTGCAACTCGAAAATATTCTTTTGTGGATGTTTTTATGATATTTTTCTGGCTAAAAACCTGGCATAGAATCATCAGGAATATCGTAAAGAATATCGAAGGTTAAAAATGCTTTTCGGATTATTGGCATCAGGCAACGCAACACGTGGGCGATCTGCCAAATGGGATGGAGGGAAAGTGGCCCCCATTTAAGCGATTTATATACTTGAAGAAAGGCCTGAAAACTATACATGGATAGCCCATTAGTGTGGCGTAATTATGGGAAACTGATCCCTATTTAGGTGTTAGATACGTGAAGAAAACAAGGAAAACTGCAACGTTGATGAGGCGCGAATCCGCGACCACTAAGCTCGCTGGTGGGCTAAAATTAAAAAAAAATGTTTGAAATGAAATTACAATTGTTTAAGAAGTTATTATTTTTTTTAATATAATATTCGATTAAAATAAATTCATATTTA